AAAAAAAAAAAAAGAAAAAAGTGCAATCATAACTTTCCTTTGCTCTCATATCTTATTACTCCAAAACCAATGATGCACAGTGCAGAATTGAACACAATTACAATGTGAGGGGAAGTTCAGTGGTGTTCTACCCACAATCAACTGACTGAAAATTGAAGGATACACTATTTTGGAGAAACCCATTTGATAAATTCATCAAAATCCCGAGACGAAATTCAAATAGAAATCGACGAAAGATAAAAAAAATTTAACGAACATGCTCAATGAGGTTTTCCAAATTTGTCCCAACATAAAGCACAGCTATCGTTGTTGAGAATAGTCGAAAAAGAGTCGAAAAACTCTATTCTTCTGGCTTAAGTGTCCAAAAGTATTTGTTGTTCCTAAATAATGCAAATGTGTAATTCTATTATCAGATTCATGAAAAGAATTCTAAGAGAACTAAAAAGAAACAGGAAAGAAATGCATGTGGCTTGACGAGCTCACGAAATAACTGAAATTAACAACTCAAAGTAGGCAAAGAAGGCAAAGAAATGAGAGCGCTATTTTCCACCCCGATTGACTTTGTCTGGAGAACCTGTGAATAGAATCCCCAAGACGGACTAGTTTCGTTTATAGCACTTTGACCAAAAGGATGTTGCTCGACATATTTCTGCACATTTTCACATGTCAACAATCCTTCCAAATAGACCCGAAGGTCACCTCTTGGGCCTGTAACAAAATTCAACAAAATAAGTATGTATTTTAATGTGAGGGCAACGTTCGGTAAAAATTACCACGAAAAGAACAAACAAATATATAACAAAAATAAACCAAGAACATTACCTAAGGAATTGTCACTTTTATCCATGTAACTGTATGAATTGGGAAAAATTGCGGTGTGCAACTATAAAGAATTTGAAAAACGAACAGTTATGACATACTGAAAAAAGGTAAAACATACACACAAGAAATATACAGCTACGAAGGTACGAATCTTACTGGATTGAGTAATGCCTTATACGGAGAATCATCTAACAATAATGTGTTTGTTTCATTATATTGTCCCTTTTTCCAACGTAAATTAGGACCATCACTTTCCCAAATTTTCTTGAGCTCCTTGCAAACCAAAGGTTTATGACGGTTTTCAAGAGTTTTGAATCCTGTTTGAGTGCTATGAAACATATCCTGCATTAAACCATATGTTTTTTGTATCACAAACTACAAACTACTAAAAACTGTTTTTGAGAATTAAAATCAAGATTTACATGACAACATCAACATTAAAATAAGAAAAAAAAAAAAAAAATCACTTACCATAGAAATCACATATCTGCATAAAGAATCAACATACTTACATCATATCACGACTATATCGGTTGTGATATGAAATGTAGTAGGTTAAGTCCTTACAGAAATTGTGTACTAAAATCTAGATGGTCTGAATGATTAGTTCTTCGTAGTTCGTTATGAAAAAAAAAATGTTTATTTACTATTACTTATGAAAAGTTTTGAGAGAGCCGCTTACCCAACAAAACAACAACCCTTCTTGCAGATCACCTAATAAATATTCAATAACTTTGTCAATAAGTTTCCTGCATTTCAAATATATAGTTCGAAGTCAGCATGACAAATCAAGAATTGGATACAATTTCTATAGTATAAGTAGATTCTATGGAAAATAAAAGAATGAAATTAGTACGAAACAAATGCTATAAGCAGCACATTTTTTAGAGAGAGACGTAGAGAAGAAACTAGCTTCAAACATACTTTGACCTTGACGACCATATGCCAACATCAAAGTTCTGAAAACAAAACTTCAAAAAATCGTCACAGAAGGGTCTCTTGAAAACTACATATACCAAAAAGAAGGGTGAGGTCAAAATAAACCCGCTAGTTTGACTTTCCGAATATCTTAGATACAATAAATAAAAATAACAATAAAAAATCAAAGATTGTTTCAACTCATCATCAAGACTCACCTGCTCGCCCTAAAATATGTGTGTCTCCCCGACAGTCTTTCGGGGCTGGAAACAATATCTCCGCAAGAAGTCCATTCACATCAAGGACTAGAAGCTTTCTCTTACTAGAATGAACCTGTGCACTTTGTGGACATTGTCTAAATTCCATCAAATCAGGGAAAGAAACATGTGTCGTGAACTCAACATCGCAAGTGGATAACACACTCCCACCTCCAGCTAGAAATTTTTCCTCACTAACAACAATTTCATTACTTTCTTCATTAATCTTATTCTCAAACTTCAGTGTCTCAACATTCATGCGATTAGAGTTGGAACTATGTTGAGCTCCACAAGGAAAGGATTTCTCTTCTACCTCCATGGGACTCAAAATATCTACAGGAGTCTCTTCAAGTGACCCAGAAGAAACTCCGACGCATGAAACCTCGACCACATCTGGCAATAGGACAGCCTCTACATTAGTAAATAAAATAAAAGAAATCTTGCTATGTACTTTATTTGATAATGAAGATTCGTTTTCTATAGAACCTTTGGAATTTTGAGCCGTGAATTTATTTTTAGTTAGCTTCCCATCAGTAACTCCTCCATGGCCTCCTTCAGATAAGTGCAAATTCGACATTTCATCTGCTTGGTCAGCCTCATCTTGACTTTCTTCCTTCTTGGTATTTTTGGGTCTATTTTTTTGTTTCTCATTCATCTTCCCTTCAGCAGTCTTTTTTGTTGGCTCTATACCTGTATCCATCTTTAACTGGCTGATACTTAGGGCTCGAGCCTCACGCTTTCGCTTTGCCTTCTTTTTCTTGTGACTTTTGGTTCTCTTTTCTAGATTTGCACCAACCTCAGAAAGGTTTTGTGTTGACCCTGCAGCCATTGTAGGGCATTCTGCCGGGGTTTGCATAGAAAAATCTGTATGTGCAGGATTCTTACCAGAATCACAGTTGGCTGACGCACATTCTCTTTTTTCATCCGGTACTTTCGAACTTTCATCAATATTGTTCGCTGTTACTGGTGCATTTTTCTCCATCATTTTCTTCTTCGCTCTCTGTCTTTTCCTTTTTGCCTTGCTCAATGGACAATCCACAACAGGATTTTGCAGTAAATCTATCCCCATAACTGTGTATCTGCACAATATCAACCTTGGATTGTTCTCAGCTCCAAACATGATCATACAAACAATAGGAAAATACCCCCAAACAGAAGAAAGAGGGAAAAGAAAAAAAAGAAAAAAGACACTAGAAAAAAAAGTACACTTTTATGAGAAAAAAAAAATACAAACAGGTGAGAAAAGAATAAAATGCAAAGGGAGTAAAACATAAATGAAAGAAAAGCACCAAAATGAAGAAAATAAAAACCAAAACAAAACATAGGAGCTCTACAATTCTTAACATTCGATATAGCACCAAAATTCAAAATAAAACCAGCCATCACATAAAGTGAGAAAGGAATAAGATAGAGAGGGAGTAAAACATAAACGAAAGTGAAGGACCAAAACAAAGAAACTAAAAAAAACACAGGAGCTCTCCACTTCTTAACATTTGATATAGCACCAAAATACAAAACAAAACCAGCCATCAAATAAAATGGGACACCAATAAAATCAACATCAACTCGTCAGTTCAACTACACGAGACTCCACCACATTCATGTAAAGGTCTCCTAAAATATTTTCACAATCACAAAAAGGACACAATCTTCCATGACTTTGAAGCATACAATTGAAAATCACACTTGGAAACGATTATTTTGATTTCAGACAATTATGCAACAATTAAAAGAAGTTCACTTCACACTAGAATAACTCCCACAATCAAAACATTACGTTAACTTCGAAAGATGATAAACCTAGGCATATTGTTAACTTTTTAGTAGAAACAAAAAGTATACGAACAAGGACGACGTTATCACAAGTCCCAGATTCACCTAAAGCAATTATCTCAAAACGATAAACCGAAAAGACATAGTAGTTTCCTTCTGCTTAATACAACCAAACAACTCCATAACTATAATCTCCTGATTCAACCAAATCTTTAAGCAATCACAGATTTACTGCACAATACACCAAAAAAAATAAAAAAAAAATAAAAAAAAAATCCCCTTCCAATAGAATTTAACAAAACAAATTTTAAATCCGACCTTCATCTCCTGTTGTCAGTTTCAAAACCCAATTAATTACAGATAAACAAACAATGCAAAAATCTCTACATCACCAAAAATAACCGGCACAAAAATAACAACAACTAATCGAGATCAACTCATAAGCAACCACTAAGAAATTCTTCATACGCAAACGCGAATTAATCCAAAATTCGAAAATAACATAAGCATAGGCGTGCGCATAGATTTTTACGAATAAAAAAAACTCAAATAGCGTCCTCAAAAGCGAGTAAAAGGAAGCTTACCACGGTGGAGTTTCGACGGAACCACCAACACGCGGCGAGGTGCGAAAACGTTGATTTTGCTCTGCACGCGGGCTTCGAGTTTTTAATATGGGTGTGTCGCGTTTAATATGGGTGTGTCGCGTTTTAACAAAAGCGCGTTTTTAGTTCGTACTCGGTGAGTCATATGGGTATACGACTCGTTTTCGGTATTTATATAAGTAGCATCCTTTTGTATTCTGATTTTCATTGCGTGGAACTTTGACCGACAAAGGTACTTTTGGAGAGCTTGACTTGACAATATATAAGGGCATCTCCAATGGTAATAGCTATTACTAGCTATATGGTTAGCTGACGTGGATGTGAGAGATGAGAAAAATAACTATTTTACACTATTGGACCCACTTACTCCTCTCACATAATCTTGGGCTACGTGAAATAGATAAGCTATTTGTTAGTAGCTAGTGACTACTCTCTCTCTTACTTTTCCCTTGTCCACGTCATAATAGTTAGCCAAATAGCTAACCATTGGAGACGCCCTAATGTTTAAAAAAAACTAAAATTGTGCTACTTTATTTAGCTTTCATCATAAATTATTAGGTTAATTGTATAAAAAATCTTAATTTTTTGTTTAATTGCAAATAAAATTTATCTTTTTTAATTTTACAAAAGAAAATATCAAACTTTTATTAAGTGTTGCAATTTTGTCTCAAAAGCAGATTCCAGTCAATGAACGCTGACATGATCGATCGAAAAACTGATGTCGCACCAAAATTATGACGTGACAATCAATATATTATACTCGATGATAAAATAGTGGTAACATTGACGTGGCATTCCTACGTGTAAGGGACGTGATTAACTATATATTGAAAATTTGCAAAATAAATTATGATAAAAAATAAAATTAATTTTCGATCATACATTTAAATTTGGAATAAACGGAGTCCAACATTTCATTTTCGCCTTTTTGTAGATATAATTAACTATTAAATGTATTTACATAATTCCCAAAATCCTCATATTGTTGGCCCGGATAATAGTAGGGCTAATAAGTTAAGTTTAAAATTATTCATAGGTGTTATTTTGGGACTTTAAAACTTCCACAAAAGTAATTAAGATTCGGAACTAAGAGCATGTTTGTTTATGAAAATTTTTAAAAAATTTCCAACATTTTCGCTCAACTATATTTTTTAACTCAACTTCTATCAGTAAAGGAAGTTTGGCCCCTACTATTGCTATCGCGGGGGCCTACCTACAGTCAACCCCACTATTATCAATATTATTAATATAATTAAATAATATCAATCAATCATTCATACACACCACATCAATCTTAATTCACTATTCATCTTCTCACATTATTTTAACTAACAATCACATCAAACAATCTTTCTCCTACTTTTACATCAAATTATTTTAATTATTTTATTTTAAATACTATTTTAATATACCCACTAACAATTAACCATACAACTTTTTTCAAAATTAACCAAACCAAACTAAAAAATCCAAACAAAACCAAAAATTTCTATAAACAAACATGCTCTTACAAGTTGGAGCTCCTAATACTCCATTCCAAGTCAGTTAATTTAATGGACCAAACTTATCGAATCGAATTACGCAAAAAATTTAAAAAAAATTATGTAAGAAAACCCTAATATTAAGCTAAAAAGCTTTAGCGAGCTAGTCCGAACACAACTCATTACCTAACACAATCTTAAACAAGCACGAGCTTGACTCATTTGATAAATGAACTAAGCCAAGTCTAGTCGGACTCACGAGTTTCATTTAAAGCTTTAGTAAAACTATTGTTTATCAGACATACCAATTGGGCAATCACACTTTTTCAACAAATATGCATCATTTCAAATTTATATATCATATCCTAGAAAGCTACATATATAAAAGTATAATGATAGTATAAATATGCATTTTTGTTAGAAAAATATGACTTGTCAATCCACCTAACAACGTCGAACACACAACAATTTGTGATAGGAATTGTATAATTGTAATTCATTTAGCTATAACTCGAGAGATTAGTGTTTTGTGGTTTTACTAGGGTAAAACTCTGCATAACTCCACCCTTCTTCAGTTTTTGGATTACAGTTAATGCCTCAATTGTAGGATTAGACCATCTCCAGCCCTTAACTCCACTCTAACGCGGATTTTACTCTACTCTAGAATAGAGTTAAACATTTGTCTCCAACCCTTATCTCTACATTTTACTCTACATCAAATATATTATTTTTTATTCATTTTTCATTTCAAACTAATTGGTATATATATGCATATTTAATCTTATATAAATATAAATGTTTATTACCCAAATAATAAAAATATGTTTAGTATAAAAAATACGTTACACAAAGTTATAATCCTATCTATATATAATTTCCGAATGCGCTGAGCCTACGTGGTTGTTTCTGGTGCTTCGGAATCCTACTTGGCGAAGAATCATGCTTCGTAATTAGGTTTGGACAAATAATAATGATATATTAATAATTAATAATCTAAGTGACTAATATATCCCTAACTTTTAATTTGTTTCCTTCAATTAGCTACTGAATTGCAAATGTATTTTATAAGATAATAACTTTTGTATTTCTTATCGGTTTTACATATATAATATATCAAATTAATCATCTTTTGATGATCTTCGATTTGACATCCATATTGTATATATTCAAATAAATAAATTATATTTATATTTATACTAATAAAAAATAATTATATTTAGTAAAATTCATTAGAAAAATAAAATTATTTCTCAATTGATATATTTATGTTTAATGTTGTTATATAATGTAAGTTAAAAAAATTATTATAATATAACACATGTAAGTCGCACAAATAAAAATTGGCATACTACATGTATAATAATATATATTTTATAAAATGTATTTAAATTTTTAACTATTTTTTCTCATTAATTTTAGATTTTAAGAAAAAAAATAGCAAACACCCGTGTAATACACAGGAATTGTACTAGTACGTAAATAAAGAAAAAACACAAAATTATTTGGCATAATAAATATATTACACAAAGTTATAAATTATTTAACATAAAAATACATTACACAAAAGTTATAAATTAGTTAGCATAAAAAATACATTACACAAAGTTAGCGCAGGGTTGGACTATATTTTGGCGCTACAGTAGCACAAAAATAGAGCAGCTTATAACTGATGAAACTCAAGCTTATAGTTGAAGTTTTACTCTTTTTATTTTTTTAGTTGCAGTTTTTTTTTTTATGTTGAGCAAGCTAACCCCCTGATCCGTCCGCTGAAGCACGAAACTGGTAATGCCAATCTTTGAATGGTAACGTTCTGAACATGTATATATATGATCCATATATTTTTTAAAATACCAAGAGCATTCACATCGTTCTTTTCTCGATTTACATGCACATAACCTTCAGTGTTCTACAACAAATGGTCCTTATTCCCAATCCGAAATACAGAAAGGGGGGAAAAGAGTTCATCATGAAACAATAACAAATCATACGCCTAATGACCAATTTAAGAAGCTTTGTTCGAAAATTTCGAACTCAACTTTAATCCCCATCGACCCATTTCTCACCAGTAGAATATGTAAAAAAAAGCATAGTGCATCCTTACTAGGAAGTATGTGGTAAATGAGGCTACATGAATCCCAGAAATCTATCAACAATTTGTGCGCAAAACGGGATGTTAATTAGAATGACTCAAAGTGGTAATGCAAACACATAACCCATCAAGAAGGGGAAAACAAAAACCAGTGATTTTAGGCTTCAAGGTTCAA